GGGGGAAATCTGCAGCAGGACAGAGGCCTTGTGTTAGCTGTACGCGTGAACGACCGGTGTCTCCTGAGACTGGCACCGCAGCGGCAAGCGGGGACTGCCCGTGGCCATCAGTGTCGGCGAGCGGGGACCACCCGCAGAAGCTGGTGGCAGCCAATTTCAGGGGGGGCATGGGCTCCCCCACGCATCACCTATGGCTGTATGTGAACGAACAAGACATCACTGGGGAATCTCATTTCCCCCAACACTCGCACCAGTCCCTTAGTGGGCACAGAAGGCTCATGGCGGGCATGAGAAAGGAGTGAGTGAACATTGATGGTTGGACTATTATTTGGATCTTGCATCGTTATCATGGCAGCACTACAAGGCCCGTGCAAGTTCAAGCATCTTTCTGCCGAGTGCTGCCTGCCAACAGTAAGGCCCACCACCAGAGATCGGAGCTGTGTCCCACCCCAACCACGTGGTTATAAATAGGGAAGCCCTGTCGCAGGCAGGGCAGACATGTGAGCCTCTCCCCGTGCACGCAGACCCAGACCCATGCCAGGCATGCACCTGGCATCTTACCTGACTCCTGGCGGTGCAGCAGCTCCTCAAGGACAAGAGGTGGCTTGTCCTGAGGTCCTAGCGTTTCCGTCTGTCCTGCCTCCTCCAAAGGCATGTCTGCAGAATGGGTCTTCGGCTGCTCCCCATTGCAATCAACAGGTTCCTGCACCTCGTCTGAAGACACCTCCTCCACCATCACATTTACTGGCACCTGGGGACAAGATCAATATGTCACTGGGGAGCTGAGAACTAGGAGAGATGGGGGTGGGAAGGACCATCCCGCAGACGCATGAAGATGGGGACAGCAGCATCTATGACCTGGGGGAAATATTCTTACCTGGAGCTTCTTGTCCTCTGTCGGCTCCAGCCGAAACCCCTCGGCCAGAGTCACCGCCTCGGCGCAGGTCTCCACGCCGCGCCCCCGCACCCAGCTCTGCATCTCCCGGGGCAGGACGGCCAGGAACTGCTCCAGCACCACCAGCTCCAGCATCTGCTCCTTGCTGCGGTGCTGGGGCTCCAGCCAGCCCCGGCACAGCTCCCGCAGGCAGCTGCACACCTCCCACGGTGCCTTGTCCTCCTGGAAGGGGAGGCCCCGGAAGCGCCGGCGCCACTTCTCCAGGGTGAGGACGTTGTCCCCTGGTGCCGGCTGTGGGGTCGCCGAAGACAGCTCGGCCACAGAGCGGGTCTCCATGGCCTGCTTCCCCTCCTGCCCGGGGATCTCCCGGTGTTGGACCAGCTCCTGCAGCTGCTGCTTTACTTGCTGTGGTACTGACCACACAGATTCACAGCAGTTTAGGGCTCGTGGGCAGGAAAGACTGCTGGGGTCATAGATGCAGAGATGTTCGGGTCAGAAGGGACCTCAGCAGATCGAGTCCGACCCCCCGCCCTGGGCAGGAAAGAGCGTGGGGGCCAGACGCCCCCAGCCAGGTGCTTGTCCAGCCTCCTTTTGCAGACCGCCAGGGTGGGCGCCTGCCCCACCTCGCCTGGATGACATGGGGCTTCTCCTGCCCCTTCCACAACCTGCCGCGTCCTGCTCCTCCGGCGCTGTCGCCGCAGCCCCTTTTTCTCCAAGGGGAGAGACCTCACCACAGCCTGGGGTCCACGGTCTCGCTCTCCCCCCACCTCCGCAGCGTCTGGCTCATCTGTGGGAAAGGAGAGGGCCCAGGCGTTCCCGTGCCATGGGAGAAGCACTGCCCCAGCCCCAAGATCTGCCCGGCCCCCGACACCCACCCGCTTTCCCCAACTCTGGCTGGCTGCAAAACCCCCGCTTCCACGCAGCTCCCCGCGCCCTCCCTCCTCTGCCGGGCCCTGCAGGCACCTCTCCGTGGCCCCCAGCACCCCCAGACACAAGTGTGGCCTCCTCCCCACCTCCCCGCAGCCCCTCACCCCCCTCCGCCACGGAGGACGTGGCTCCCTGCCATGACCCAGGACCCCCAACCCCAAAGGGGAGGGATGGGGGGGCAAGCACAAAGCCCCCTGGACCCCCTCGGGAGGCAGGATGTGCCCGGCAGAGGAGCCGGGGCCCAGCACCGCAGCGGAAGGGGCCTCGCCTTGGAAGCGGAGGCACCTCCCCGCGCCAGCCCCTGCGACGGATGGGGAGGGAAGGAGTCGGCCCTGCTTTGTTTCCCCGGCCCTTCTCCTGCGAGGGTTTTGGGTTTTTTTGTGGGGCTGTCAGCGCGGGGACAAACTGAGCCCTCTCCTACCCCCTCCACAGGGTGCGCGGGGCTTGTGGGGCAGGGTTTGGGGGGCCGAGGGCAAGGAGCCGCTTGCCCTTCGCCCCCCAAGTGCAGTTGGGCTGCTGAGGTCTGCCCCAAGCGTGCCACGGAAAACACACCGCCTTATCCCTCTGCCTCCGTTGCAGACTGAAATCTCTTTTTATTTTTATTTTTTGGGGAAGGCATGAAAGCAGGGGGTGACCATGCCCGGGCAAAGTCACCTCCTTATCTCTCTCCCTCCATCACAGACTATCGGCATTATACAAGAAGTGACCATGCCCAGGCAAAGACACCTCCTTATCCCTCTCCTCTGTTGCACACTGAAGGAATTAAAGCAAGGCTGACCATGCCAGGACAAAGATACCTGCTTACCCCCCTGCCCTCTCGCAGACCGAAGGCATGAAAGCAGGGATGACCGTGCCCCAGCAAAGACACCTCCGTATCCCTCTGCCTCTGTCACAGACTGAAGGCATTAAAGCAGGGGTGCTCAACCTTTTGGCCCCACAGGCCGGATGAAGGGCCCTGGGCAGATCAGGCTTTGCCTGCCAGGATCAGGCCCTGGACCCTTGCATTGTCCCCAACCTGACCGAATTGGGCTCCGGGAGCCCTGTGGCCCCAGGGCCAGGGCAGGGGAGAGGAGCATCCCAGCAAGGTGCTCCTGACCCAGCCTGCAGCTGGGCTGTGCATTGCTTACCCAATCCAGCTGCTGGGCAGGCAGTTTGCTAGGAGTCAAAGGGGAAGAAAAAGCCCCAGAGGGAACAACCCACAGGATCGTGAGATTCATCCCCTTTCGTGCCAGCGTGTGACAGGTGAATCCTCCGAGGTCCCTGCAGAAACCAGCTGTGTCAATCTAGAGCTCCGAGGCGGAGGTGGCAGAAGCTGCAAACATCACGTATCCCAGACCCCCTCAACTGCCAAAAAGCACTTGTGGCCCAGAGCCCATGTAGGGGATCCATCTGAAAAGCTGCTTCCCCAAAAGAAACTCTGGGGGAAACCTTCACCGAGAACAGCTCTCACGGGGCCTGCAGAAACAGGGATGGCCTGCTTCAGGGGGGGGGAAAGGAAAAGGGAGAGAGGGACAAAGAACCCTGTGACTTGGGAATATTTTGGTGAGTTTAACTCAGAAATCCTAAATCGTCCGTGGAGGCAGGGTTTCATAGGATTTAAAGAGAAATAGAAGGGACCGTGGGAGACAGACAGAGGAAATCCTGGCCTGTTCCCATTCCACAGCTCTGGGGAGGACAAAGAAACCAAGCACAGGGATACCATGTTCTCTTCTTGGTCTTTCTTAGTGGAGAATGCATTATAGAGACTGCAATGAAGGGAACGGGGAGCGGCACAGTAGCAGGCACCCAGTGGTGCATAGCAGGGCCGAGCAAAACACCATCGTTTCATTCCGACGTCCGTGTCACCGGTCTGCTCCGTTTCGTCGTTTCGTTTCGTTTCGAAGCGCTGTCCCGTTTTGTTTCGTCGAAACCGTTTCAACGTTTCGCCCATAGAATATAACGGGGAATCATGAAAATGCCTAAAACGTTGCCATTTGTTGCCCGATTCAGATGCAAGTTGCAGGGATGGTAGACCCTTCTGAGGGCACGAAGCCTGCCATGTTTCAAGGAAATAGGCGTGAGCAGGCCTGGGAAAGGGGTTATGTGGTGGTAAGGAAAAGCAAGGTCAAGGTGGAGGGCAGGGAATGCTTCCCCAGCCATAAATGTCCTCCTTTCTGCAACTAAAGAGCCTCACGTAGCTGAACCCTGGGATCAGGAGAGAGGATGAAGCTAGGAGGCTGTGGCAGGCCAGTAGGGAGTGCTCCCGCACCGAGCCACCCACCTCACTGTGCCCGACCACCTACCAAGCTCCGAGTGCCTCCCTCGGGGCACCTCACATCTGACTGACTCCCTTCCTGGAGCACACCCGCAAGCCTGGGGGTAACGCTACCACCACTCATGAGTCTTAGTCTGCTAGTGGCTCTGTGCCTCATGAGACACACAGGCTTTATAGACCTGAAGGATACTCGACCCACTGCAAGAACTTGGGGTGCTTGCCTTAGTCTGAAGCACAAATAGCGGTCTCACTTAGTCAGCCAGACCAAGGGGACCCTAAGGCATAATCTAGACCCCCTCCCAATAAGTGTCCCACGCTAGGTGCAGAGGAGAACTTTATTGATTACAAGGAGTAGGTTTGGAAGAGGGTACAGGGTAGAGCAATATCAAAGAATAACCTTTAGAGCAAACAGTGGCACGGTAGCCTTTGATCACACATCTGAGTTACTGCAGGCTATACATCTAGTTAGCTTTCAAGTAACTTGCTCACACGTATCATCCAGAGGCTGACAGAGCTTTCCTCTGGAGGCGGGCAGTTCATAGTGTGTCCATGTCTTTTCAGAGACAGAGCGAGGTGCCCAGGTTCATCTGCTCTCAGTGTCTTCATCATGGCTACCGCCCCTCCTCCTGGGCAGTCTTTAACTTATGTAGACCTTATGACATCATTTACCTGATCCAATGAAGGCCAGCAGTTGTTGACTACCAGGCAACCAATTTGAAATGCATCACTGGTTGCCAGGTAGACTGGCAGGGGCTCTATCCCCCCTCCCCGTCCTGATGTCATTGTGTAGAACAACAGGGATTTTAAGCCCCCCACGCAGGTGTGTGAGGCCAGTCATGTAGGCAACGGGAGCAGTTCCCCCCTCTCTCTGGAACGTATCCAGCTCAGGTTACAACTCAGGGCTACCTGAAGCAGATAGGGGCAGGGGTGCCTGCCCTCTGCAGCAACCATGATAACCAAATTGTCAGATAGGTAATAAGCCTGATAGCAGAGTTTGGGGACACACTGGGATGACTTTCTGTGACAGAGGCAACCAAGGACAGTCCCCAGGTGTGATCTGGAGACAGTTGTCTAAGGGAGGGCACCCTTTTGTGGAGGAATTTCTTCTCCCCCTGGGAGTTCAGACTGCTTTTAGAGTATGATGAGGAATGCGCAGGCTCCAAGGATGATGCAAAGATTGGAGCCTCTCAGCATCTGGGCTGGCCTCTGCCTGAGGTGTTTCTTCTTAACCCCTCCCCACAAAACAAGCCTCAGAGGATGGGTGGTAAGATAGAAACCCTGTTACTTGGGGAAAAGTCATGGGACGTGGGTAGCCAAAGGGGACAGGGTCATGAAAAGGACAAGGTCGGCAGCCGACCAAGCCCAGCTGATGAGGATCGGCACACCAGGTGGAGATAAGGGAAATGGAAGTGGCTGCCATGCTTAAAAGGCAGGCAGCAAGGGACTGAGCCTTACCCTCGGAACACTTGAAGGAAGAGAGGAATACACGATGGGTGACAAGCAGAACAGGCACACGTACGCCCAAAGGACTGTAAGCCAACAGCTGACCGGTGAACGACAGGGTACTTACCTGAGGGGTTGCAGGTGACGAGGGTAGCCAAAGAAAGGCCGGGGAGCCTGGAGGTCAAACATTGGAAAAGGGAATTAGGGGGGGAAGCCCCGAGAGGCTCGGCAAGGCGGTGGCAGAACTGCAGCCCGGTTAAAGAGAAAAAGTGCCGCTCGGCAGGGCAGTGAAGAAACTGCTTCCCTGCTAACGAGCAATAAGCACGGCCAAGTAAGACTTGGTAACTAGCACTCTATAAATGTAACACCGTGTTAAACTCCTACCTGGGTGGTCAATGGTATCTGACCTCACTCGGGGAATAACTCTCCCATCTCAAGTCATGGCAGGCAAGCTCTGAGTGAGGCAGGAGAGACACATTCACCCTCCCACAATGCCCTCCGGGCCCTTTGCGTTCTTCATTATCCTACAAGCTCCAAAGGCTGAGTAAACTCTTTCTGCAGTCCCCCCAGGATAACGATGCTTGCCTGAATGCAGTAACTTGTGTGTGATGAGTAGGTAGACATTCCCAAGCTCTTCCTGCATTGCTGGCAGAATTACAGATGTTCCTGGCTGTGGATGCGCTGGTGCCGAGCCAGGTGGGCAGACTGGGTGAAGCTCTTTCCACACTTAAGGCACTGATATTTCCTCTCCCTTGTGTGAATACGCTGATGCCGGGCCAGGTGGGAGGAACAGATGAAGCACTTCCCACACTCAGGGCACTGGTGTGGCCTCTCCCCAGTGTGGATGCGCTGGTGCTCGAGCAAGAGGAAGGAGCGGCTGAAGCTCTTTCCACACTCGGGGCACTGATGTGGTTTCTCCCCAGTGTGGATATGCTGGTGCCGAGCCAGGCTGGATAAGAGGGTGAATTTCTTCCCACACTTAGAGCACTGATGTGGCTTCTCCCCTGTGTGGATGCGCTGGTGTTGGGCCAGGCTGGAGGACTGCGTGAAGCTCTTCCTACACACCGAGCACTGATATGGCTTCTCCCCGGTGTGGATGAGCTGGTGCCGGGCCAGGTGGGAGGAAGAAGTGAAACTTTTCCCACACTTGAAGCACTGATGTGGCTTCTCTCCTGTATGGATGCGCTGGTGCCGGGCCAAGTTGGAGGACTGGGTGAAGCTCTTCCCACATACAGAGCACTGATGTGGCCTCTCCCCACTGTGGATGCGATGGTGCTGGGTCAAGCTGGAGGATTCAGTGAAGCTCTTCCCACACACAGAGCACTGATGTGGCTTCTCCCTTGTGTGGATGAGTTGGTGTCGGGCCAGGTGGCAGGACTGGGTGAAGCTCTTCCCACATGCAGAGCACTGATGAGGCTTCTCCCCTGTGTGGATGCGCTGGTGCCGGACCAGACGGGAAGGGCAGGTAAAGGTTTTCCCACAATCAGAGCACAGACATGGCTTCTTCCCTGTGTGCCTGAGCTGGTCCTTGGCCAGGACGGAAGACCTGGTGAAGCTCTTACGATATTCAGAGTACTGATGCATCTTTTCCCTTGTGTGCATGCGCCTGTGCCTGGCCAGGGTGGAAGGATGCCTGAAGCTCTCCCCGCATGTGTTGCAGTGGTGTGGCTGCTCCCCCTTCTGCCAGCACCGGTGCTGGGACAGGTCTTTCCAGCAGATGAAGTTCTTCCTGCACTTGGTGCAGCGGTGTGTCTTCCTTCCCAAGTGGATGTGTCGGTGCTGAGCCAGGGAGAAGAACTGGGTGAAGGTCTTACTACACGTGACACAGCAATACGGATGCTTCTCCCTGTGCACATGTTGGTGCTTGCCCAGGTTTGAGCTGCACACAAAGCTGTTCCCACATTTGGTGAAGCAGTGGGGGAGCTCTCCAGAATGGATCTTGCAATGAGCAGCCAGGGTTGAGAGACACGGGAAGCTCTTCCCACACCTGGCATATACATGGGGCTTCTCCCCAGCATGCCTTTTCTTGTGCAAAGCCAGGAGTGATGGGCAATTAAAAGTTTTCCTGCAGTCAGGGCAGGGATGGGCCCTCTCCCTGCTCTTTGCAGTGAGCTCCTGTTTCCCTCTGAGGCCCTTCACACTGGTTTCATTTGGAGGCAGTGCCTCTCCCCAGTGAAGCTTTGCCTTGTGACTCTTCAGGTCTCTCAGCTCCACAGTTTTTTCCCTGCACCCAGGCCTCTTTCTGTGTTGAGTCCCTTCTCTGCCCTTCTGCCTAGCTGAAGATGGTACCCAGTTCACCGACTCATTCCCCTTCTGCTTTTGTGGTCTCCCCTGACTCTTGTGCCATCGGTCCTTCTCAGGTCTCAGGGAGTCCATCTCATACGAACTCCCTATGGGAGTCTGTGGTGGCCCCAGGTTTGCAGGCCCTCCCGGAGGAGGCTGCTGCTCAGCTTTGTTCAGCAGCCAGACACCTCCTGTGTGCAGAAGAGAAACCCCAGATTAGTCCCTGCTCTGCTGGCAAAGTCCAAACACTGCTATTCATTCTGCTGGGACGGGACCTTGGCACTTGTGTTTCCTTAAGAAAACAAGACTTTCCTTCCAAAACCCCAAGTGCTCCCAAGGAAACTGGATCTGTTCCTAAAAAATCAAGACGGCAAAGTCATTTCTGTCCCCGCTAACACCTGTAACTAGGAGGGAAAGAAAGGATTAGTTACTTCCCTCCACGGTCTTGAATTTCACAGAGTGGGAACAACACCTTCCTGGATATATTAGAGCATAAGTTATTTGAGGTCAGCACCTTGCAATGGCAGCATAGGGCAGGTCTGCGGTTTGCAGGCTCCCTGTCACTCTGGGCATGGAGCATTTCTGAGAGGGGAGTCAGGTAGAGGGGATAGCCAAAACTCACCTGGAGGCAGGTCCTCCAACCTTGAGCTTTCCCCGCAGTCCTCATCATCACCGACCCAGAGCTCCACCTCTCCTCGCTGGATGCGGCAGATTAAGTCAGGGGTGGGACCTCGATAACCTGTGTGGGGCAGCAGTGACAGGGCGCTTGTGGCTGGAGACTGGATGCAGAACAACCAAAAGGGATTTGGGGACCGGACCCAATGAACTCAAGGAGTCTGCTAGGGCCCTGATGTAAAAGGAGGGTGGACATGTAGGATGAAACAGAAAGCAGTGCAGGGAGAAGATTTCAATAGATGATAACCCTTGTCATCCTGGTAGCGGAAGGATGGGCATAGGAAACAAAGCTCCAACAACTCGGACGTATAAAAAGGGTATAAAACTGACAGTCACCAGGCACAGCGGTGGAGATGCAGTGATCTGTGTTGTACTAGACAGCAGGAAGATAAAGCTTTTACTATTTTCAAGGGAGCCAGATTACGAGAAATTAGACATGCTTATCTTTCCATAACCTTTAATTTATCCGCTGAATCCCAGGAAAGGGGTGGAAATGAGATTATTTAAGTGGAGATTTAAAGTGAGGAATCATGGCACTGAAAAGAATCCATGACCGGTGGTTGAAAGGGACTTTTTTCTCTGGGAGAGAGGGTAATTCATAAGTAGGGCACAAAAAAGGATGGTTTTACAATAACTCTGAAGTTATTCAGAGTTTGGATGGAGTTATTGCAACTGAAGCAATCGCTCCATCCAAATGGGAGGATCAGCCCAGAAGAGGAGATGAGTACACAGGGTGGCAAATGCTGTGAGGTTCAAACTAAAGTTGCTGGGAGTCGTAGATATGGAAAAAAGAAGGCAGAAGCAGACACATTTTATTGCATGTGAAATCCCATTCTGTAGAAATGGTCTATATGGTCTTTGTTGACCTAGAAAAAACATTTGAGCAATTCCCTAATGAAGCGGAGGGCAAAGAAAGCAGCAGAAAAGACAATTAACCTCATAAAAGGTAAGTACCGCAAACCTGCACACCCTCCTGTTTCCCTCTGAGGCCCTTCACACTGGTTTCATTTGGAGGCAGTGCCTCTCCCCGGTGAAGCTTTGCCTTGTGACTCTTCAGGTCTCTCAGCTCCACAGTTTTTTCCCTGCACCCAGGCCTCTTTCTGTGTTGAGTCCCTTCTCCGCCCTTCTGCCTAGCTGAAGATGGTACCCAGTTCACCGACTCATTCCCCTTCTGCTTTTGTGGTCTCCCCTGACTCTTGTGCCATCGGTCCTTCTCAGGTCTCAGGGAGTCCATCTCATACGAACTCCCTATGGGAGTCTGTGGTGGCCCCAGGTTTGCAGGCCCTCCCGGAGGAGGCTGCTGCTCAGCTTTGTTCAGCAGCCAGACACCTCCTGTGTGCAGAAGAGAAACCCCAGATTAGTCCCTGCTCTGCTGGCAAAGTCCAAACACTGCTATTCATTCTGCTGGGACGGGACCTTGGCACTTGTGTTTCCTTAAGAAAACAAGACCTTCCTTCCAAAACCCCAAGTGCTCCCAAGGAAACTGGATCTGTTCCTAAAAAATCAAGACGGCAAAGTCATTTCTGTCCCCGCTAACACCTGTAACTAGGAGGGAAAGAAAGGATTAGTTACTTCCCTCCACGGTCTTGAATTTCACAGAGTGGGAACAACACCTTCCTGGATATATTAGAGCATAAGTTATTTGAGGTCAGCACCTTGCAATGGCAGCATAGGGCAGGTCTGCGGTTTGCAGGCTCCCTGTCACTCTGGGCATGGAGCATTTCTGAGAGGGGAGTCAGGTAGAGGGGATAGCCAAAACTCACCTGGAGGCAGGTCCTCCAACCTTGAGCTTTCCCCGCAGTCCTCATCATCACCGACCCAGAGCTCCACCTCTCCTCGCTGGATGCGGCAGATTAAGTCAGGGGTGGGACCTCGATAACCTGTGTGGGGCAGCAGTGACAGGGCGCTTGTGGCTGGAGACTGGATGCAGAACAACCAAAAGGGATTTGGGGACCGGACCCAATGAACTCAAGGAGTCTGCTAGGGCCCTGATGTAAAAGGAGGGTGGACATGTAGGATGAAACAGAAAGCAGTGCAGGGAGAAGATTTCAATAGATGATAACCCTTGTCATCCTGGTAGCGGAAGGATGGGCATAGGAAACAAAGCTCCAACAACTCGGACGTATAAAAAGGGTATAAAACTGACAGTCACCAGGCACAGCGGTGGAGATGCAGTGATCTGTGTTGTACTAGACAGCAGGAAGATAAAGCTTTTACTATTTTCAAGGGAGCCAGATTACGAGAAATTAGACATGCTTATCTTTCCATAACCTTTAATTTATCCGCTGAATCCCAGGAAAGGGGTGGAAATGAGATTATTTAAGTGGAGATTTAAAGTGAGGAATCATGGCACTGAAAAGAATCCATGACCGGTGGTTGAAAGGGACTTTTTTCTCTGGGAGAGAGGGTAATTCATAAGTAGGGCACAAAAAAGGATGGTTTTACAATAACTCTGAAGTTATTCAGAGTTTGGATGGAGTTATTGCAACTGAAGCAATCGCTCCATCCAAACGGGAGGATCAGCCCAGAAGAGGAGATGAGTACACAGGGTGGCAAATGCTGTGAGGTTCAAACTAAAGTTGCTGGGAGTCATAGATATGGAAAAAAGAAGGCAGAAGCAGACACATTTTATTGCATGTGAAATCCCATTCTGTAGAAATGGTCTATATGGTCTTTGTTGACCTAGAAAAAACATTTGAGCAATTCCCTAATGAAGCGGAGGGCAAAGAAAGCAGCAGAAAAGACAATTAACCTCATAAAAGGTAAGTACCGCAAACCTGCACACCCGCCAGAACAAACCCCTCTACTAGAGATCTTCTGGAAAGGAAAACTGGTTTCATTAGGCCCTGCACCTAGCCCACTTTTTATCACAGTGATGGGCATCTGATATGCAGAGGGATTTGAGGAGGAGCACAAGACATCCGGCGAGAACGGCGGAGTGAACTTGAGAGCCCAGGTTTCAAAGTAAATAATATCGAAGCCAGAGCCTATGGTCTGTGAGGATGAAGATGTTAAGAAGAAACATGGGCAGAAGCTACCAGTGACCCCTTGTTGGAAGTACCTGGATTGCACCACATGTACATACATCACTAGGGAAGGAACTGAGCACATTCATAATCCACGTGTTGTAGCAGCAGAGGTGGAAAAGACTTCCTTTAACTTCTGCTGCATCATAAGCAACGGACAAGAAAGGGGATTTCGATGGCACTGAACTGAGGATTGTTAAACGTGTTGGGACAGGACACACTAGGCAAAGAGAGGGAGGAAATCAGAATAATTCCCAAGGAACAGCTGTTAGGGAATTGTTATATGCAATGACTTAGAGATGATATGAACAGGCCGAGAAAGCAAAGGGAGATCATGTTGCCAAGAAACTGCTGAATATGGAAGCACCAGGAGTTACTGGAATGGGAAGACTCAAGTGAAGATGGCGGGATAAAATGAAGGGGGATACATAAATATGAAATGCAAGACAGGTCTGATCGCTGGCAGAAGTGGGGTGGAAGTGGATTTCAACCGCCAGCCAAAAGTTCATGAGGATGAGAGTGATAAAAAACAGGGAGAAGACAGTAAGCTTTAGAGTTCACTTGGGTCCAGGGAGAAGCAAGAAAAGGAGCTTTACCCAGGGAAACGACAGCTTGGTAATTCCTCAGCATCTGGTCCCGGTAAAGCCCCTTGTCTCCATCGTCCAGCAGCGCCCACTCCTTCCGCGTGAAGTACACGGCCACGTCCTCAAAGGCGTCCCGGAGCTGCAGACACAAGTGTTGCACCATAAACATCTCCTGTTCCAGCTGCTTCCAGCCCCCACCATCCTTTCAGGAATTACTCTGTCCTATAATATTTGCAAGCTTGGCCATGACATTATTCAGCTGACGTGTGATGTGGACACAGCTCTGGACATAGGAGTTAGTGCATCTGCCTTAGCCCAACTCATCATATTCTCTCCGCTTGGTCCTCGGAGGAAGCCCAGGCAGCACTTTCAGAAGCAGAGACCTGGCTCTATGGACTGTGACCGTGCCTTTCAGTGCCAGCACCTCTGCCTGTGTGAACTTGGGAGTGAGCTCCTGATACGGCCAGTTTGGTGCTTTTGCAGCTTGTCACCAGAGACGTGTCTCTCTTCAGGTCTCCCCAGTCCCCAAATTCTTCCCAGTCCCCCTCCATCCTCCTGGGCTTTGCTCCAGCTGCACTCCCACCCCCAAGTGCAGCCAGTGCCCAGCTCACCTCCATGCTCCCCCTCTGCTTGGAAGGCCTGCCCTGCCGCGGCCACACCTGGTCCAGCTCAAACGTTAGAGAGCCCCCTTTTCCCAGTCTCCCCGGGGAAGTCCTCTGCAGCTCCAGCTTTACAGGCCCTTCCTCGGGAGGCAGCTGGTCAGCTCTGGTCAGGGTCCCTGCACCTGCTGGGTGGGGGAAATATCCACAGGTTAGCCTGGGTGCTGCTGGCAGGAGGGAAGCCCTGCCATTCCCCTGTACTGGCCTGTGAATAAGGCAACCAGAGACTTGGGCGTGTGGAAGAGGGGGCGAGAAGGAGGATTCAAAGTCCCACCGCTCTTTCTAAAATAGACCTGCACAGGCAGGGAGCCGGAGATGAGCCACAAGAACTCTCTCCCAGGGCAGGGTGGCGATCACAATACCATGCGAGAGACTGCAGGGACATTGCTCCGCGAGGGATTTTGGTGCTGGGGCAGCATCCACATTTTAAGGGGAGGGGAGGACAGGGCAGATTCAAGGTTCATCTTCTCCAGGGTGCGTGCAATGCTTGCAGGGGCGCTGGGAAAGCAAGGAAAAGTGCTCTGTTGGAGCAGTGACTGCATCAAAATGCTCCGGCAAAGAGATTTTCTCACTGCTGGATGGTGTCTCCTGCTGCTGGAAAGGGTAAAACCACTGCTCTTTACCTGCTCCTGGGGAAAGGCCTCGTCTGGGGCACCGGCTTGAGGAGCTTTCATTTCCTGACAGCTCCCAGGTCTCCTTGGTTTGGGGGAAATCTGCAGCAGGACAGAGGCCTTGTGTTAGCTGTACGCGTGAACGACCGGTGTCTCCTGAGACTGGCACCGCAGCGGCAAGCGGGGACTGCCCGTGGCCATCAGTGTCGGCGAGCGGGGACCACCCGCAGAAGCTGGTGGCCGCC